TATCTGATCTATCAGTTTTTTTGAACGCCGGGTCTGATCTCAAGCCGTCAACGGAACAATTTCTGTGGATCCTAGCCCCTTAAAGGTCGTGTGGCGTTGCGACACTCCGAAAAAGGTTATGAGGATTCAAACTTGACATTCCTAGATGGATGCGCGCCGATCTTGAAAGTTGTAGCACATGGTCTATTCGAAAGGATGGCACTCATCTCATGTTTGCATGCAAATCTATACTGTAGCTTTTGGCTGTCATCTTACTGAGGTAGGTTGTCTGTCGAAGAAACATAGATGAGATATTTCCATGTCGTTGTGTTTCATGACTTATAACTTTTTATCAGCATGCACATAAGGTTTTTGTCACAAGACCCGGAACGGACCTGCAGGTTAGTCCAAAGAAAGACACAAATCAGCACCGACGCGAAGCGTCTGCGATCCCAAGTACTGGAAGACGAAACCCAGTGCACATCTCTTCCCGCAGAAACGATGTCACGAAAAAGAAATCTTTTGGGCCAATCACTACGTTTGAAGGTCCGGAGCCATCTGGGCTCTGTGTAAACTTTGTGTAGTCATCATAAAGCTGACATTTCCATTTCTTGAAAGCAGGGTACGGAATGGTGTGCTTCGTCAGCCTTGGTACTGTTGCTGATGCAGGCCGTGACCTGACATTTTCCTGAAGAACGCCGAAAATGACTTTCCTGATGATGAAATCATCATGGCATCAGTCAGGACCTTGGAGGCCGAAAATGAAGAGCTTGTCAACCTCAAGGCACTGATTTCTAGGCAGCGCGCAAGCTGAACCCCACAGATAGTCGGGCAGGCCCAATATGTTGCTCACGTGGATCTTAAACCCCTGGCCGCTTCTCACAAGCTAGATTCCTTAGCTTTCAGTGTTGACTGAGGACAAACTGTTCCGGAAAAAGATGGCTTGCATGTCTTCCGCGAATGAATTTGAGGCCATTGCATATTCATTCTGAACTGGAAGTCTACTTAAAAGTTGCTAATTCATTATGCTTTCTGAGTGTCGCGAAGTCGACCGAGATCAGGTGGAAATGGCAGCACGTCATTGAACTTTTGCTTTGAAACGGGCAAAGACCGCAGCGCAAGATGCGTCAACTCGAGAGTAGCAGGCATCTTCTCTGAAGTGCTAGGTGGCCCTGCGGAGCTACTAAGCAGAGTGAAGAGGCTTTTCCACGCGGGGTCCGCAGGCAATAGAGTATGGGCAGGAGGTCGTCATAGATGTCAATACTGGCCCTCCGTAGCTTAGGAGCTCTCCGAAATCCTTGCATATACGTTCTCGTAGCCTTTAGCCCCTTTGCCCGTGGCTCCGCAGGGTCTCCTGCATGCTCACAGGTGTTCCACGGAACATCACGAGGGACGAGCAGGCTAGTGTTGCAATTCAACAAGCATAAGCGATTTCCCATGCACAGGGCTTTAGGCTCTTCTTCTCGTTCGAGAACGCGGGGCTTGGGGATTGGGAGAAGGACGAGGTATCGGATCCATCAACAAATAGAAAGGGTCCAGAGCCTTCTACCACCACAACTGACAGCCTCTAGTGTCAGACCTTGAAGGTCTCGGTGCTGCTGCAGAATGGGCAGAGATCAAGGCCGGCGCTGGCTGGTTCTTTGTGACAGCTTGGTCTTCTCCGGTATGTGATGCTCATCCGTGCCTCTCAAATAGGACTTACGAGTTCTTCACCGATATAGTCTTGTAGCATGGCGTTGCTGTCGTCGTCGGCACTGAATGCAGATCTCATGAAAAGTTATCTTTTAGTCTGAAGTAATTGAGACTCGGTTGAATCAATGTTGGCAGGTCGCCAAGCACGCCGACGCTGTCGCCAACAGCTTGCATGGACCCACCGTGTCTCGCTGTCAGATCGCACCATGGTTGACGGGAATCAGTTGGGATTCCGTCGCTTCTCCGAGAACCTATTTATGGTTTTTATCGCCCGTCTTCACATCCGTTCTTCGGCCTGTTGTCTTGAATGCTGTCCTAATACTGGTCTGTATTGAGCTATTGACCCCCAGAAAACACCCAAACGCCAAACGTGACGCACATACGCCCACGATCCCGGACAATGCATCGGAGATCCCCAAACACCAGCGCAGCGCGTATGCCAATCGTAAGCCAAAGCACAAGGGGGATATCCTACTTCTACAAGGCAGCCGCCTAGATCCTCATGACAATTTCCCTGCCCGCCTTTCGAATGAAAAACGTTTCACGCACCCATGCTTCGAATGACTGTCCCTTCACACGGTTTGCGACTCGACGAATACCACTCATGAATCCTGCGTCATGTGGGCGAGATCGAGCTCGTTCTGCACGAGCCTCTCGAAATCGTCGCGGTCGATACCCGAGGCCTGCGACAGCTGCCACAAGCTGCGAATGCTCTTGGACACGTGCTGCTTGATGGCAAAGCCGCTGGCCTCCTGCCTGCCGGCCATCTCCTCGAAGCGCTCGACGGTGCGGCTGCCGTTGCTGCTGGCGCTCGACGCCGGGCGCGGATGCAGCACCTGAGCGGAGCGTCGCTCGGCCTCGAGATCGGGGCCGGGGCTCGCAGGCTTCTCGGCCTGGGGCTGGACGAGCATGCGGGCAGGTGGCGATACCTCGGGCTGCTGCTGCGACTGGGCGAGCGGCTCCTCGTCGGGGTCGTGGTTGTCCATGGCTGGCTGCACATCGTCATACTGGGCGTAGTAGCTGTCCTCCGCCGAGTCGGTGCGGAACATGCCGAGGTGCGAGGAGGGCTGGGGCGCCAGGGGCGCGGGAGATCGCTGGGGAGCCGGTGACCAGGCGGGCGTCTCGTTGTACTGGTTCCAGTAGTCGTCGTTGCCGTCGTCCATGTCGGGCGTGCCGGAGAAGCCTGGCGTGACCGACGCCGCCGCAGGTGCCGCCCTGCCCTCCTCGAAGGCCTTGTCGGCCTCTGCCATGGTCGAGTGGCCGGCGAACTCTGCAAAAGGGTTCGGCTTCTCGGCGACCGTGACCTCTCCGACCCTCCACCCATCGCCGCCGCCATCCTGGTCGCCAACGCAGTACACGAGCTTAAAGGCGAGCTCGAGCTCCTCCAGGACCACAAAGGCGTTGAGGGTTTCGAGATCGAGACGGCGGTACTTCGTCTTGGCATCATACTCCCAGTCGACCTCGACCTCACCGGATACCTGGTGAGGCTCGAGACGGCCGCTCTGGACGACCTCGGAGAGACGGGCCGTTTTGGCGGCATCGTAGCTGAGCAGACGAAGCCAGGGCTCTGTGCTGTTGAGGCCAAGAAGCTGGACTCTTTGCCTCAGAATGGGGGAGAGCAGGGGCAGGACACCGATGGCGGGCTGTTTTGAGACGGCGGCGGCAGGGAGAGCGGGCAGGATGGGGGCCAGCAGGGCGCCGATGTTTGGCATCTCGACTCTGGAAGACATGATGGAGGTGGTGTTTTGACGGCGGATGCGAGGCGCTTGATGCCGAATGCGAGGTGTTTGTGGAGGAGGAGGAGGAGGAGGAGGAGGAGGAGGGCAAACAGGATGAGACGGTTCAGAGAGGGGTATCCAAAAGTTAGTGACGGAGGGAGGCAGTGGTGATGTCGAGGACTGCGTGGTGGTGGGCGCGGGTGTCACATGCACATGCTTCGTGAGCCGTCGACCAACGGAAAAGGAAGAGTCTGTCTGTCTGGCGTCGCAGGTCTGGCGTCGTGGCGCACGAAAGCAAGCTCTGGTTGTGAGGATGGAGCACCTAGGTACGTGATGATGATGCAAGGCAGAGAAGGAAGGTGAGTGACGAGAAGCTTGAGAAGGCAAGGAGAGAGAGAGAGAGAGAGAGAGAGAGAGAGAACGAGAGCAAGAGATGTCGTCTCGTCTCATCTCGCATGGCTCCTGCCCGAGTTTGGCGTCGCACTGCAAAAGGCTCGAGGGCAACTCCCTCTGGTCCGCGCCTGATGGGTCTGCTGGGTCCCTGCTTCCCTCTTTCGCTGAGGTCTGCGGTCACAGGTGGTGTGCCTCGAGCCAATGAGGCGCCGCGGGGCGTCCTGGTTTCGGACGAGAGGAGCCAGTGAGCGGGTGAAGAATTGCGGTTATGGCCAAAGTGGGGTGCGGGACCTGGCTCGTGCGGCGGGGCTTAGGTGCGTTAGGTGCAGTAGGTGCTGTTGGGGACCTGAATGCGTAGCCGGGAATCGAACTCCAGGCGCCAGGTTCTCGATGGTTTTGGCTTTGGCTTGTGAATCTCACGATGCGCTGCTATGCACTGCACCGCATGCATTGCGATGCTATTTGCTTTCTTGCCTGGTTTCTTGCCTGGTTACCAACTTGACTGCCTGCCTGACGCTGTGCCAGCATCATTTGCTTCGGAAGACTCCATGAACTTGCAGAACTCTGTTTGAAACGAATTATCCAACGCATCATAGAATGTCACTACCCATGAACAGGCTGTTTAGCGACCCGGAATCGCGGTGCTTCGGAACTGGGTTCGGCACATTCCTCCAGCCCTTCCCTTCAGTGGACGGAAGAACACAACGCCTCTGCACAGGGACGTGGTCATGGCGGGTCAACCTGGCGTCTGGCCCTTCTAGCCCGCCGTAGCTGACGGAAGAAACAGCGGCCTGTAGCGGGACAATAACCGCTACTATGCGCCTGGCGCCGTGTACCGCGTCCATTTACCGCATCTCGTGGCCATGTCGTCACGAATTCCAGGGGTCCTGCGATAAGAGGATAAGGAAAGAAGGGAAGTGTGACTGATTTTGCCATTGCAGGAACACATTGGCACGCGACAACTTCCTGCAGTCACCACCTCAGTCATTACCATCAGCTCCTCCATTGCAATTGCATGCCATTCTACGAGGCCAGTGTTCCATTTCATTAAACAATCGACCGTTCCAGCATTATCATCATCACACAGCTCGAATCTCCGGCTCACGCTGTGCGGCACTCACGCTGTGCGGCACCCACGCCTGGGTCCAAAGCCCCAAACCAACAACCCTCCCTGCCCTCCGCCGCGCTCCTAGCGGCCACAATAGGAGACCCGGATGAATGTCCTCGAGCGCAACACGCCTCAAGGATGAGGGATCCAAGCTCCAGGTCGTCATGGCCGGTGCGACAGCCGGCCTCGTCTCACGGTGAGCCTCTTCCACCTCCTCAGTGACTGCCTCTTCTCGGACTACTCTAACGATGTCTCGCCTACAGCTTCGTCATCGCGCCCCTCGACGTCGTCAAGATCCGACTCCAGCTGCAATCCCACTCCCTCTCCGACCCCCTCTCCCACCCCGCCGCCCAGGGCGGGCCCATCTACAAGGGCACG